CATCATCCTCTTCTGCCTTTGACCTCTGAACAGACTATTGTTGGGCTAAGAAACCCCATGCCATCATTTGGTCAAACTGCTAATCATCCTTCAAGTCCTAAGGGTTATGTCATCTCTTAAAGCCTTTCCCCATGTCCCAGGCAGTAGTCTCTCCCTCTAAGCCACTGCCCCTCTTCCACAAGTCCCACTTCATTGATACCCACAAAATTACCAAAAGCCACACATAGTTCATTTCCCCAGAAGTGTCATTCCCCCAGACGTGAAAGGAAAGAAAAAGGAAAAAAAGGACACAGAAGACTTAAGGAATGGGAGAGGAGAAGAAAGTCTCCACCCATTCATAAAGCTCATTGCTGACTTTTAGGAGCAGTTCCAATTCTGTATGAAATCAGGATCCCCTCTCAGAAAAACTGAACTTTGTAAAGGCACTGCCAAGACTGCAGTGGCAAAGACAAAGTCAATGCCAAACTGTTACTGAGAAGGAAAATGTAACCTATTGCATATCTTACCTCCTTCTTCCTTGACTTCTTCACTAGATTCTCCTGAAAAAGGCTCCTTTGTGATGGGATGATCACTTCTGTCTTCTTGGGTAACTGGCTTAGGCCTGAGTGTCATTTTCTTCCCTCTCCTTGAACCAGTGGCATGGAATTTTTCTTTATCAGCGTGTATGTTAAGGGGCTGAGAAGACTCCAAGGAAGGCAGGGTGATTCCTTTGGAGATGGCAACATCAACAGCTTCTAGAACTGGCGCATTTGTGTCCTGGGTGAGTACACTAGAGCTCAAAGATGGATCCTCCATACCAAGCTGATTTCCTGCATCCTGCACAGATTGAACATCAAGGCCAGCTGCTGTACCATGACTTTGACACCAGGACAGTGACACTGACCCCAAGTCTTTAACCTGGTCAGATGCTGGTTTAACAGCTGACTCTAGGTCTAAATCGTCTTCCTCCTGGTTGCCCTGATGCTGTGGGAACTCAGTTACTGTAGTTCTTCTCTTCTTACTGGGCAACATTTTAAAAGTCCTACTTTTGTTCCATCCTGAAAGGATAAAAGCAAGTTCTTACCACCTTCACATTAATTATGATAATATTTCCTCAAATATCTTTTTACTTACTCACATTCAATTAAGAACACAGTACTTTATACCAAATACACAGTCTCTCATTAGATGTAAGCGGACAGACAGCGGTTAAAGTGCTTGAGTTGAAATCCTAACTCTACCACTGATTAACAAGTTATCTTGGCTCAGTGACTTAACCTCTATAAACTTCAGTTTCCTCAACTGTGAAAAATAATTACTTTCACCTCATAGAGTTTTTATGAGAATTACATAATAAGTGATTAGTAAGTGTCAGTTATTATTATTACCATCAGGAGGGTAAAATAGCATGATGCTAAGAGCAAACTGAATCAAACTGTCTGGATTTGTTTCCCAAGTCTGCTTCTCTCCAGCTTTGTGACCTGGTATAAGTTACTTAGCCTGACTTTGTTTCTTCAGTTACAAAATGAAATAAAAATATCACCTACATCATTAGATAGTAATTTATTAGATCAGTAAATACTTTCTACTGTTGTTTGCATAAACAGGTGTTTTCATTAATAGGTACAATCCAAAAGCAAACTATGGTTGTTTAAAGAGGTCAGGCTACGTTGAAATCTTGTATGATAAACAAGAGATTCCTACTGTACTATGTTACTTCAGGACTCTCACTTTCAATTCCAGTTATCACATTTTAAGGACAACACTAACCTAAACTGGAGGGTTTCTTTTATGTGCTTATGGCACTTGTTTGCAGACTTTTTTTTTTTTTTTTAAAGATTTTATTTATTTTTAGAGAGAAGGGAAGGAGAAAAAGAAGAGAAACATCAGTGTGACACAGAAACATGGAGAGCAACATGGATCAGTTGCCTCTCACACACCCCAACTGGGGACCTGGCCCACAATCTAGGCACGTGCCCTGACTGGGAATCAAACTGGTGACCCTCTGGCTCACAGGCAGGCGCACAACCCACTGAGCCACACCAGCCAGGGCTGCAAACCTCTTTTATAGTAATTATCACTTTTGTTGATTGCCTCGTGTCTCCTCCTTCCCATCTCCCTTCAGAAAAACTATGTACTTTTTTTAGGAAAAGGACTTTTTCAACTAGTATCCCTAGAACTGGGTAGACTCTGCCCTATTGCAGACACTCAATGAATGTTCCTTGAATGAATGAATGGATGGATGGATGGAAGAAAGAGTGAACAGTCCCTAGTCTTTGCTTATTTTTATGCAGCATTTGGACCAAGAATTAAGCTTTATATGGAAACTTGCTACCAAAAAAACCTTTATTCAATTAAAAAAGGTACAAAAATAAAATAAGTTGCCTTGTGTTACAGTGAGTTCATCACCGACAACGTTCAAAGTCTGAATGAGTGCCCATCTACCAGCGTACTAGATGCAAGCTTGGACTAGTGGACAGCAAAATACAGTTCTAATTCTTAAGGGTCTGAACTGTAAGCTTAGTTTTAAACCTCCCTAATTCAATTTCCACACATCACTAGACGTCTCCCCCCAGCCTCCAATCTACTGATGCCCTTAATTAAAGCTCAATAAACACGTAAAGATTCCACTGATCCCTGTAAGGGAGAGTGGTGAGCGGATAAGGGGAGGGAAGTGGCTTAGGTGAGTCCTATATTTCACAGATTAATTACTGAGGTCCCAGAAAAGGCGCGGGGGGCGGGGGGGCGGTGAAGAAAAGGGGAAAAAAAAAAAGGCATCTACTATTTAAAGTCAGTATTGTCCAGGGTTCGGCCCTAGGCAATTGTAACACAGTAATTCTAAAGAAGCTCACCTTTCGGGAACTGAAGTCAGGCCAACAGGGAGAAAAAATGCAAATCCCGGAGGAGCCCCAGCGCGAGCCCCTCCGGGGAAGATTTCAAAAAGGGGTCCTACTGTGCTTTAGGCGCCGAGTACTGGCCCAAGACCTCACTCCCAGTTAGACACCCTCACTTCTCCTACCTTCTATCATACACCCCGCGCCAGCCTTCAGACCCGACTTCCTCAGCGTGGTCACCCTCCGCACAGACGACCAGCTCCCACTTACCTCTTCCCGCCTCACTGCACACGACCCAGTCCCCTCACCAGTGCCTGATCCCGCGGAAACTCGGCGTTTGCACCACCGGAAGTCAGCCAGCGGCAACAACTTACGTGCGCGCCCCCGAGTCGCGATGCGCGGCGTCAGGACGTCAAGGGGCGTGCTCCAACCACTAGGCGCCGTCCTATTTTAGAGTGGAAGGAAGCCAGAAGGCTAGCACGTCAGTTGTGAGCAAAAAAAGTTAAAGGGCCCTGGTTGGTGCGGCTCAGTAGATTGACTGCTGTCCTGCAAACCGAAAGGTCGCACGTTGGATTCCCAGTCAGGGCATATGCCTGGGTTGCGGGCCACGTCCCTAGTTGGGGGCGTGGGAGAGGCAACCAAACGATGTTTCCCTAACACGTGTATGTTTCTCGCTTTCTCTCCCCCCTCCCCATCTCTAAATGATAAAGTATTTTTTCAAAATTTAAGAGAAATAACTCGCTTTCTCGTCCCTAAAGCTATACTACTCAAAACAAAACTGTAGATTGAGATTCAGTTGTTTTAACCTGACAACTAATCCTCCTGGCAGGGAGACACCAGGAAGAAGGGACCAAGGAAATGGAGAATTAAGAAAATTTCAGAAAGGAGTTCCCGGTTACAAATAGTGGGTTTTCCCAAATAAAGCTAAGGCCATAATGGACTCACTCCATAGTAATTATTCATGTGTGTATAATACTTTGCCATTTTACAAAATGCTTTCACTTATGTTATAGGTGATTTTATCTTCATGATAAACTCTGTGGAACAATGTATATTATTATACCTTCCAATTTACAAAGGACAAATTTCTGGCTCAGCTAGTTGGGTGATTTCTGGTTCAGCTGGGTAAGTGATTTTACAAAGACATACAGCTATCAAGGGGAATCAGGCATCCTTAACTATCTTCTAATGCATTGATCCAGTGCCCAGGAAGGTGCCTGGGGCATAGTCGCTGTTTGATAGGTCTATACCTGTGTTTTGAAGAAATGAATGACTCCTAGAACTATTTTCACATTTCTAGAAGGAAAGAATGTCAAAGTTGGAAAAATGCATTCAACTCTCATTTTACAAGTGAACAAATATTAACATTTAAATAATCTATTTTGACCTGATCCTCTCAGTAAAGAGATTCCAAGAGGATGAAAGTATACACAGCCAAAATGAAGAGTGAAATTGATGTAATCATGGACATAACCGCAGTCTGATTTTAACCTGAATCACCCTAACTCTTCCAAACACCAAGGAAGTCTCTAGAAACTTGGAGTTTCATTCGTGTCCTGCTTGTGAACTTGCAGAAATACGCGTAATTGTTGGTTTGTGCGCTCTCTCTCTCCCCTAAGCAGCACCAAGCGTTTGACACTTTAGAAAAGAAATATCCATTGCTGATTAACTTTGGCACTCTTCGTTGGTCTTTTTATACAGACAGCTTTAATTTACATGCCACAGAATTCACTCGTTTTACTAGTATAAATTATTATAAGTATATTTTCAGAGTTGTGCAACCACCACGAGGCTTGATCTGCAATTAGAGTTTCTGAAGCTTAAGAAAATTACCATAATAACCTTTAGTGGGCTCAGAAATGCAGAGCAATAATGGCAAGTGATACTGAAATCCTGAGCTCCCTCTCACCCAGAACATTCTGCCACTATATTAAGCCCAGAGGACCAGAATCACAGGATCTATAGGCTCTCATATGATAATATACCTACACTTCTTACTTCGTCCTCGCCCTACAGGTTTTCTCCTTTAGACCCACAGCTCGACAGTGGGCGAGGTCTCGTTCTCTGGAAATCACGGCGATGGGGTTCCTTCCCCAAGATTTTCCGGAAAGGGGGGGCCTGCCTTCCGGAACTTTTCGGACGGAGGCGGAGTCTTCTGCCGAAGGCCGTTCGGAAGAAGGCGGGGCCTACCTCGCATCAGGACCAGTCTGGCTGCACCTGCATCCTCGGCTCAGAGCATCCCTGGAGCATCTTAAGAGGCGACCGCAGCTGGCAACCAGGGACCATACCGTCGCAGGAGGTGTCCACCAGATACCTTCCCCCTCCCTTGACCTAGCGCTGTACAGCGGCGGGCTCGGTTCTGATCCGGAGTTCCCAGAATTGCAAAAGCATTTGTAGCAATATCTTCTGGTTACGACATGGCCGAGATCACCAATATCCGACCTAGCTTTGGTAAGTACAAGTTGGGAAAACTAAGCCTGGTATAGTCAAAAGCGTGGAAAAGCCAGGGAGCCCAGCAGCAGGGCAGAGAATGAAGCCCAGACCAGGGTCTTCAAGTGCCAGCCCCGCTAGAATCGGGCTTGTGGTGGTTGGTAGCGGGCAGTGGACAGAGCCTGAACTTGAGCTATGAGCTGCAGAGGCTGGGAAGGCCAGAGCCATACGGATGCTGAAGGTCCAGGATGTAAAACCTTGTATGGTGCACCGTCAGCACTACTGGAGATGAGAAACAGAGCTTGCGGAGGAGGTGAACCCCTCCTTCTGGGGGAGGAGAGGTGGGGTAGGCCGAGCCCTCCCCCTTGGGGCACGCAGGGCGGTGCCCCTTCCTCCCCCTCCTACTCCTCAGTACTGCGGGGGAGGGAGGTGGTAAGGGGGGATGGGGCATCAAGATGGCAGCTTGGAGAATGTGGGCTGGGTGGCTGGCAGCCAAGGGAGGCAGCGGCCTCTAGAGAGAGAGGTGCGGGGGTGGGGAGCAAAAAGGAAGCCACTCCTTATGCCGGTCAGCTGTATGCTGGAGCTGGGAGGAAACGTGAGCCCCGCAAGTTCTATTCTGCATCGTAATGGTGGGGTCCGTCCGATGTTACCAAATGGCGCTTGGTGCTGCTGGGCTGGGGGATGACGTGATGTCTATTTCTGGGCCTCCTGGCAGCGCCTAGGCGCTTCCTTCAGGCCTTTGTTCCCTGTTCCCTGGGACGGCTTTTCAAAAAGGGGGAGTTCACCCGCGCTAGTGCTGGAGCTAGCGGGGTCCCGAGCCAGGCCGGAGGGGGAGGGGCAAGAGAGGCCAAGCCTGGGGGAGGGCGCTTTGTGTACCAGAGAAAGCATTACGTCATCTCGGCAAAGCTGGTCCCTGACCCAGCCTTTTGGGCCCCAAGATCAGTTTCATTACTTGGAGCCGAGCTAGTGGCGTGGAAAATAGGGAAGACAGGAAATAAAAGCTCGAGAAGTAAGTTTTTTCCTCTTAGGGAATGTCTCCAAATTATAGTAGGCTAACAAACTACCTGTGCTATGCCTTCCTGGTGCAATAGTGAAAAAAAGAATTGCCCTGCTTCTCCCTCAATTCTACTCTGGTTAGCATAGTAGAAGCAGTGAGAGTTGCTGTCAGCCTGCGTTTCCTTCTTTGCCTTAAGAGATCCTTAGCCCTCAAACAATCCAGAAGGTTTGAGCATCCAGTGTTTAGGGTGGGGCCAAAATCCAGCTAGGAAATGGTTTTTCTCACACCCCAATAAGAGGTTTATGGAAATGAGTAGAACTTCATGTGCTCCATTCTCTCGGTATCAGGAGAAGACATCAAATCAGGGACAGTACCCAGGCAACAGATCATGCCCATTATCTGCTTGTTCCCACTGATTCCCAAGGCTAAGTCTTGATAGCATTTCTTTCTTCCACTTCACCTTCTGTATCACTATTGTTTGAGTCTTAAATTTCCAAAATAGATGTCCCTTTCATGATTGCATGAGCACCCTATGCTTTTCTTTCTGCTCTTTTTCTTTTTATGCCCTCTTTTCAATATATTCTTTTTTCTAATTGCAGTTTCCGATTTCTTGGAAAGTGAGATGGTTTGGAGTATAATGTAGTGATTTCCTTTAGAGGGAATATTAGTGGAAAAGCTAAAAGAAATTTTACCAGCCTTTTACATACTACATTTTATTTAATCCTTACAAATACCCTTTGGTGCAGGCATTATTACATATATTTTCCAGGTGAAGAAACTGAGGCTTAGGAAAATAAAGTCACACAACCTAATGAGGGTAGTGCCAATGTCCAATTGATGCCAAAGTTTATTCTTATTTTTGTATCACACTGGTCTATTTGACAGGGAAAGGCTATTTTGGTACAGGAAGGCAATAAGCAGGTCTGGTCAGAGAATGACAGAGTTGAGCATAGCCCAAGTGTGTCTCTTAGGTCTTTCAACCTTGCGGAGGGTTTCCTACATAGAGAATTGTTACTTCTGACTTTTTCATGTCTCATAGAGTACTTCACTTCAAATGCCATAGCACTTGGGAGATACATCAAGTCTACACTCAATTATCCATGACCTTGGAGAACAAAAGGAATAATCTGCAGGTGTCACTGCAATTCACAACTACAACACCCACTTTAAATATTAGTTCCAGCTTCCTTTTCCCACCAAACTTTTGACTAAAGAAAGAGGGTTCTGAATTTCAACATCCCCGATGTTTCTAATTCACTGTCTTCAGTGTGGGGAAGAGAGGCAGAGATTAACAGATACCCAAATGAATAAGAAAGTAGGGCAAAGGTGGGAAACAAGGTGGAGGAAAGTGCCTAGGTGATTTATAAATGGAGTATTTGTTTCTCTTCCTTCTCTGACCTCCTGAAAGATAAGATTCCTTTATCTTCTCTTTTACCCACACCACCTCCATTTTCTAACAGTAGAATTGAGGCATGGTAAGGAGCAGTGGGTTCCCTCAAGATCACAGAGTAAGTTTATGTTAGAGCCAAAAGGGTCACTCAAATGTGTCCCAACATGGGCCTTTAGATCTCTTTCAAATCATTCTCAAAACTATGCTTGTCTTGTTAGTTTCCTGCTTTCCTCTTCTCACAAAGACCATCAAAGTTCAGTTTCACTGATCTGTAGCAAGCAGTTTTCAAGATAGTCCTTAACTGGTGAATAGAGAACCAGTTTTTTAGCTTGTGCCCAATTTGATTGACAATTGAAACCAATCAATTGTTTAAATAAGTATTTACTGAGCTTGTATTAGATGCAAGAGACTCGGGGATTCAAAGATGGACTGGATGCTGTTTCGGCCTGCTCTTAAGGAGCTGAACATCAAAGCTACATTTTGTGAAAACTCTCTATAATAACTCTTATTTCACTTAATTCTCTGAGAATAAACTATTTTTCAGTATTGGCAGTCACCTTGATTTATTTGATTAATGGCTTTTCTTCTTTAAAAGGTAACCGCTTCTTTCCTTTCCTGTTTCCAGCTTTTATAGAATCATGGAATGTTTGAAGCAGAAAAAACTTAAGAGACACTTAGAGTAATCCCCCTGAAAGAAATGCCTTTTAGAATATGACTGACCAATGGTGATACAACCTCTGAAAGTTTTCAACTGTAGATTCACTGCCACATGAAACAATCTGGAAGGCAGTTCTAATAATAATTTGACTCTTTTCATTGAGTTAAATCTGTCTTCTTATGGGTGGTATGCACTGGTACTAGACTTGCCCTCGAAAATAAAATCAAGTCACACCTTCCATCACAATGCCTTAAATAATTGAAGAAAATTATTCTTCCTAGACCTCTCAGCCCCTCAGTTCTTTTCATTTTTTTTCATTTGATATTATTTCCAGATCTTTTACTATGCTGATTATTCATAATGTAGAGTCACTTTGGTACCAGGCAAACCAGCGTTTAAATCCCATCACTGCCATTTGCTGCTACTTGGCCTAGGGCAGATTTGAGTCCCTAGGTTCCTCAACTGTAAATTGGGGATACTAACAGTATCTATTTAATGAGTTCTTTGACCCAGAGAGAGAAAGCTCTAGTGTAATACCTGGCATGGACATTATTAATGTATACACACACAAAAGTTTTTATGCCTGTCAGTGCCAGACAGAACACTCCATATGTGTTGTGACCCGTACAGATGAAGTTATATTACCTTCCTGTGATGCAGACTGCATATTCATAGTATAAGTTGGAATTAGCCTAATTATACTCCAAGCTTGTGGTCACTTAAACTACCAAGTTATTTTTGCTCATATTTGTCAGTATGGTCTGCCGTTGCTCAATGATAGGTTTTAAAGACCAAATAGAATTTTACATTTTTCCTGATATATGCAATCATATTGACCTTACCCCCTTTTTCCAGTCTGTGGAGGCTGTTTTGAATTTATTAACTCATTTGCTCACTGAACACTTAATATGTGCCACATGATTCTAGGGCCTGGGGATATGGCAGTGAAAAACAGACATTCACTATTCTTATTAAGCTTATCAAGTAAGGAAAAACAGACAAATAAGATATGTCAGGGGTAATTAAGTACTATGAAGAAAAATAGAGCAGGATGATAGAGATATTATCTCACTTGGGACAGTCAGGAAATGCTTCTCTGCTAAAGTGATGTTTGAACAGAGGCCTGCACTGAGGCACAGAGAGCCAGGCAGATACCTGTTGAAAGGATGTTCGAGGAAGAATCTAGAATATGCTGGAGTCACATTGATTTCTTTACTTCTCCCTGCCCAAATCTTGCCTTAAAAAATAATGTTGAGGTACTTACAAAATAGTCATGGGGATATAAAGTACAGCATAGGGAACATAGTCAATAATATTATAATAACTATGGTACCAGTTTGGTACTGGAAATATCAGGGGGACCACTTTGTAAAGTATATAATTGTCTGACCACCATGCTGTACGTCTGAAACCAATACCAAATAATGTTCATGTAAACTGTAATTGGAAAAAAAAGTAAACAAGTTCAAAAAAACAAACTCATGTGGAAAACTAGAGGCTGTATCTAGACCAACTGGCTTCAGCAAACTTAAAGGGGAAAATAACCCCAAACCTAATTATCTAAGTCAGAGGCCCAACTTGCATGGGGAACAGACAGACAAGACCAGAAGAAGGGGAGGAAAAAAATCTGTTTCTCTTTAATTATTTGTTTATTCAACAAATATAAATCAAGTGCCTGCTGTGTGTTTTTAGTGCTGGGGATATAGAAATAAACTAAACAGACAAAAATCCCTGTCCTCATGAAACATATTCTAGTGAAGATAAAAGACAGTAAACTTATATCTTGGTGTCTATATATATTCTTGTGCATACGTGAGAGTGAGAGAGAGAGAGAGAAAATGAACACCTAGAAGAAAATTAAGCAGGTCTTGGGGGTGGAGAAGGTTGCACTTTTAAATGGGGTGGTCAGGAAAGATCTTACTAAGAAGGTGACATTTGAGCAAAGATCTGACATTTTCTAGTCTCTATTTTTTCTTTTTTTGACATGTGAAAGTGGTTTTTTTTTTTTTTGTATTTCATTGTGTTTTTTTCACATTACCTTTTAGTCCCTTACATCCCCTGCCCCTTACAGTCGCCATTTTTCTATTTTAAATTATTCTAATTTAAATACCTGGGAGCTGAAATTTGGACCACATTTTAAACGTACTTAGACCCACAGTTCTTCTTTTTACTACCCACCCACTTTTACTGCCCTTGAGCACCGTTCTAAAACCATCCAAAGTCAACTGCACCTCCTTTTACCCCACCTGCCAGTCCACTCAGGCCCAGTGTTTACAAACCCTGTACTAGATGCTGTGGAATGTCCTCCTGAAACCAGACATGCTCCGTGCCCTTGTGTAACAGTTGAGGTAAATGGGTTCCCATGTAAAAAGGTGACCTTGTAACACTTACAGGGCAGCTTTATGTGAAACACAAATCATTATGAGCAATCCAGATTAATAAGTGCTGAGGGAAGGCCAAGAAAAGAACAGGGAGTCAGGTGGGGCACTTCAGGGAAGTCTTTCTGGTGAAAAGGAAGAGTCATGGATTGGTTGAGAGGATGGATAGGGGCATTTCTAAGAGAAGGGAGAAGTTCATAAGGCCAGATGAGCAAATTTCGGTTTAGAGGCAAGGTGCAGATTAGCTTGGCTCCAGCAGGGGCACTGATCAGGAGAGCTCTGGACAGGGGTTGAGATCCGCCTGCCTTGACACATCTCTGGTCTCCACCTTCAGATGTGTCACCAGTGATGGCAGGCCTTATCGGGGCCTCTGTACTGGTGGTGTGTGTCTCGGTGACCGTCTTTGTCTGGACATGCTGCCACCAGCAGGCAGAGAAGAAGCACAAGACCCCACCATACAAATTTATTCATATGCTCAAAGGCATCAGCATATACCCAGAGACCCTCAGCAACAAGAAGAAAATCATCAAAGTACGAAGAGACAAAGATGGCCCTGGGAGGGAAGGTGGGCGCGGGAACCTGTTGGTGGATGCCGCAGAAGCTGGCCTCCTGAGCCGAGACAAGGGTCCCAGGGGACCTAGCTCTGGATCTTGTATAGACCAGTTACCCATCAAAGTGGACTATGGGGAAGAACTGAGGAGCCCCGTTGCAAGCCTAACCCCTGGGGAGAGCAAAACTACTTCTCCATCATCTCCAGAGGAGGACGTCATGCTGGGATCCCTCATCTTCTCAGTGGACTATAACTTCCCCAAAAAAGCCCTGGTAGTGACAATCCAGGAGGCCCATGGGTTGCCTGTGATGGATGACCAGACCCAGGGTTCTGACCCCTACATCAAAATGACCATCCTTCCTGACAAGCGGCATCGAGTAAAGACCAGAGTGCTGCGGAAGACCCTGGACCCTGTGTTTGACGAGACCTTCACCTTCTATGGCATCCCGTACAGCCAGCTCCAGGACCTGGTGCTGCACTTCCTTGTTCTCAGCTTTGACCGCTTCTCTCGGGATGACGTCATTGGGGAGGTCATGGTGCCACTGGCTGGGGTGGACCCCAGCACAGGCAAGGTGCAACTGACTAGGGACATCATCAAAAGGAACATCCAGGTGAGGAGGAACTGTGTGTTGGGGAGGGATGGTAGGTTGGGGGGAGACAAGATATTAGGGGACGAGTGGAAGGGGAAAGGGATGAAATGGGTGGTGGCAAAGTGGGACTGTGGGGAGGAAACTCTCAGCTCTCAAGAATAAGCAGTGGACAGAATAAGATGGAGGGCCTGGCAGGTCTCCTCTAAGAAGCAACTTCCTGGGAAGAGAGGGACAGGTAGCTTCTGAAATGCCACATTAGTGGTTGGCATCCTGATAGTGCATCCAGCTTGCTTGGATATAGGGGCTAATTTTTTATCTCAAATAATGTACGATCTTCCCTTAGTGAACTTATTTCTTACAGCTGAAAAACTATAAAAGTAGTCCAGTAACTCCCTCAGATTTCCTTTCCCAACCCAAACCTCGGGGTGTAAATACTATCATGTATATATGTCTTTTATTAGCCATTTTATAATGTAATGAATTGCTTCACCTTGGAGCCCCTTGCCTAGGCCCAAACCTTTCCCATACATCTCTCTCTCTCTCCACTCCTCCTCCCTGTTTGTGTTAGGAGGGGAATATGTCTCCCACTGGGCCATCATCAGCTCCTGAATGATAGAATGCAAGAAGTGTGTGTCCCCTGTCCTCCATTAGTTCATTCATTTCTTCCACAATTGGGGGGCGGGGGCAATGTAATCCTAAAGTTAAGCCCTGGGACCCTGGAGTTGGACTGCCTGACTTCATGTGCCAGCTCACCCCTTTCCAGCTGGCTTACATGGGTGAGTAACCCTTCTAAGCTTCTTTTTCCCCAGATGTAAAAGGGAGCTGCTAATACTGCCTTCCTTACAGTGATGAGGCTCAAATGAGATAATACCCTGGCATATTATTGCCCTGAAGGAGCTTTTACCTTAGTGGAGGAAAGACAGATAATCTTTGACAATTACTATATAGTGAAGTGTGCTAGATGCTTTGAAAGAAATTGTTAACATTTTAAACTCAAAGTTTCATTCCTTTTTCAGGATAAAATATAAGTGGTTAATTGCAAGGACTTGGAAGTCAGACCTCAATTTTTATCCAAATGCCATCAACCAGCTGACCTTGGGCAAGCTGCTTACCTCACTTTCTTATAGGAATTAAGGTGATGAATTTACATCACCCCTAGCACTTAATAAACCTTCAATAAATTATAACAACTATTATTATTAATAAAGTTTGGTCCCTGGGAGATGTACATAGTTCGGAGATGTTTTTATTTTGTTTTAACAAAGTAAAGGGAGACCTGCATCAGTGGAGAAGCAGGTAGAAGGTTCCGAAAGGATATCAGGGTCACTTAAAAACAACTACACATCCCCCCAGAAAGACCCTTGGCTATAGGCGCCATAATTACCTCTTGATGTATTTTCCACCTGCAAGACTACACTGGACTCTAGGGAGGCAAGAGGCTCAGGATTGGACAAAAGAGGCGTCCAGGCCAGCGGGGGCTGAGTGTGCAGTGAGCCTCTGGGAACGAGGTTTGTCCACTGAAGAAGGGCACTGCTCCAAGCTGTTGGGGAGGCGGGAGGGAGCATCCCCAGAGGTGGGTTCTTACCTTCTCAGCTAGGTAATAGGCACCTGTCCCACTGCAGCCAGCCCTGTCAGGCAATTGCCCAAAGAACTGCTGCTGCCTTGCAGCACGCTGAGCTTACCCCACAGGGGCAAGGGGAGTCCAAAACTTTTGAAGAATATTAGAGGCCTTTGGTCATGATATAAACACTGGTCCAATGTTAGGATCTAATGAGACATCCTAGAGGCCAACGTAGCAGGGATTCCCATAGCCTTGGAGGCGGGGGTCTGAGGGTATGGTGTCTCTCCTGTCCTATTTAATCCCCCTCTGTCCCATTCCCTCTCCCTCCATCCCTCATCCACAAGGTTCTGCCACCCTCTCCCCTTTTCCTGACTCCCCTTTATAGCAGCTGCAGGGCTCCACTGCTTGCCTTCATCTAGCCCTTCTCCCAGGAAGGAGCCTTTCCAACTCAGCCTTCCCGGTAGCCCCAGCTTTGATGAAGCCACCAACTAGCTGGACTCCTTCAGGCGGCTAATGCACTTTCAGCCCAAGGTTGAGAGCGGGGGTGGCTCTGTGCCAAACTGCAGCTGCGAAGAGACTGGCAAGGAAAGGGACTTGGGCTGGGAACAAATTAGCCTCCAATCCAGGACACTAGGCAAGGAGTATTTGCTGAACTGCCAGGGGCTGTTGCCATGAGCCAAATTTTTTTCGATTTTACTAACTTCCCTCAGGAGGAGTAAGCCAGGGCTGGGATCCTGAGTAATACATCCCCTGGGAGAGGCCCCAGACAGGAGACTCAGAGCCTGTGCAGCCCCACTCTGGAGCCTTCCAGCCTTTTGGGCTTCTTAAACACGTTTTCCCCAGCCAGTGCCTGTGTCCCATCCTGGGCCCTAACGGTCATCCCCCTAGTCACTCGTCCTGGTGATTCCCTAGCGCTGCAGCCTCTAAACGTCTACCCTAAATCCTCCCTGCTGTAGCTGAGAGTCTGCCCTTCCTAGATCTCCCCTTAGCTCATCAGTGAGGGCTGCCCTGGATGATTCCACCCTGTCTGTAAAAGCGTTTTCCGCTCTGTGTAAGGCATCCTCTTACAATATGGGGCCAAATTATCTTCCTCCGAAGATTTCTGGGTGGAGACTGGCAAGAACTGCATTTTTCTACACAACTCCTCACTCCTAACTGCATATCCTGACTTTTAGCAGAAAATTCATCTCTCGTCCTTTCCATTATCCAGTGCAGTCTGGTTGAAGAAGCCCAGGACTGGTCGACATTTTTTACTCTATCCATTTCACTACCTTACTCTGGGCAAGTAGTTATTATCACTGGGCCTCAATCTCCCTCTTGGCTGGATCATGAAGGGATCTCTTTGTGAGATCATTCAGTTCTTATGAATATGTAAAAAGATATAAGAAGCATGAAAAATTAACCCTTGATTATTAGTGAAAGAAGATCCCAATATGTTACCGAATAATGGACCCATTGCTTCGGGCGGGGGGAGGGGTTGCCCCAGATACTATTACTAAAATAACGCCCCCCTTCTCGGAGTCCCTCTGTTCTAGGTGCTTTGCCTGCCACCCTTAGAAATTATGGATCTCAATGGCAGAGTTTGGTGGCAAGGAAAGGAACTACTCAAAAGTTATACAGATTTTGAATAATGGCTAAATGTCTCTGTTAAATCTAAAAATCCCTTTAAAACACCCACCAATACACACAGTCCTGACTTTCCCTGCCTTTGCCTAGTCAGACCAGTCAAGGGTAGCATCCTTCAGAAGACAAAGAACAGAACTCTAGCTCGGCTAGGCAGGCCTCTCGCAGTTCCCAGCGCCATCAGCTGTGTTGCCGCGATCTCCAGCTCTTAATCCAAAACCACGTAGCACCTTCTCATGGCCCACTAGCAAGAGTCCTTTCTCCCCTTTACTTCCCACATGGTCTTCACACTGTTTCCCTAGTCTGTGCCCCATTGTCTCTCACGCAGACCCTGTAACTCCTAACTCCTTCCCAGTTACATCCTACATTAAAGTTATGCAAACCTCCTGGTTAGCCTGTTGTTGTGCAAAATAACTGTCTTTACATATGAAGCTATCCTGCTGTTATTGACATGCAAAATGACTCTCCACGCCCTTGCTCCATGTCTCCCATCCCCCATGGCAGCCAGCCAGCCTTGGTAGGGGAGGGTATATATTTTTTAAGATTTTATTTTTTTATTTTTAGAAAGGGGGAGGGAGGGAGAAATAAAGGGAGAGAAATATCAATGTGTGGTTGCCTCTTGCATGCCTCTACTGGGGGCCTGGTGCACAACCCAGGCATGTGTCCTGACTGGGAATCGAACTGGCAAAGCATTGGTTTGCAGGCCGGCACTCAATCCACTGAGCCACACCAGCTAGGGCTGGGAGAATATCTTATCTTTTTCTTGGATTCCCCAAGTTCTAGGCCCCGTTACAAATCCCCCCTTTGGGGAGGCCCTGGCTGTGCCCCATTACATAAACAGTATAAAATCTGGATATTGGACCTTGGGACTACTTTTCTTTTTTTAGTGGCAGCTTTTTTACTAGTATTTTATTCACATAGAAATTAAAAGTAAATTTATATTCCCATAATAAATTCCCCACAAGGAGATGGGAGGCAATACAGAGAGGACTGGGGAATAAAAAACAGACAGTGGGAATGAAGTGATTTACAAAGTAGATAAAGAGAGTTGTTAGACTCCTGATTTCTTCAGGCCATTATTTTCCAAACCATTTCTTGTCTTGCCACCATCAGAGTCAGATCTGGTGTTGATGACCTGGGACAATGGTCAAGAGAACGAAAGGATTCTCAAAATTGCAGATTTACAAGGGACCTTAGAGGTCATACATTCTAGCCAAAGAGACTGAAAAGAAAGAAAAAAGAATGCCCGTTTTCCAGGAACTAAAGAAGGTTGCTATGTCTGTGTATTGAGGAGGTTGAGAGGAGGGATGTAATCGAACATTAAGATTTTTGTTTCTTTTGTTTTCCCATGTTTGAGAATTATGGGGAGGTGGCCCTTGGGATTTCTAACCCCAGTAAAGGTTTACTGAGTATGTGTGGGTCTACCTAATGCAAAGGCTCTGTGGCTAGAAAATCAGTCTGGAAGGGGGTCTGTTAATTAAAGGAAATAGACTTCTCCCTCGCCAAATGTTTCCTTGTCCGGATGTTGTCTAGGACCATGCTTCTGTCTGTTCCTCTAGGGCAAAGGCTCTCAGCTTCGTCAGGCCTGGATAAAACCCATTCTCCCCCTTTTCCTTCTGCTTGTCCTTCTCCCCTGCCCCTGCCCCCAACAGGGTCTTTGCCTCACTAAGTCAAGGGGCTGGGAAACAGAGCTAGCTCCCAGCCCTTGACAAAGAGCCTTTAAGAAAGAGCCATTGCATTGACAATGCTGCTTGGAATGAGATTGGGTAGGAAAAGAAGGGGAGGGGGACAGGGTGAGGGATGTGAAACTCTGTTCTTTAATGCAGAACGGAATGGTATTCAGACGGTGGTGTGGCTGCAGACTTGGGCATCACAAAAGGGCAGCCTGATGGGGACGGGCATTCTGCCCAGGTAAAATGCCAAAGGTGAAGGGGACTAGCGGGATAACAGTTGCCTGAGGAGTGATTTTAGGGGAGAAAAGTATTAAAAGGGTAACCAGAAATTGTCTACTTTTTCAAAGAACTAGGGAAGGGGCACAGGGGTTTAGATTAGAAAGATTTTGCTATAAGGAATGATTTAGGAAACAGTTTTAAACAAATAATCAGAAAACCTAAACTATAATTTGTAGTCAGTGTTTTTACAAATGAAACTCTGTTATTCAAATCAAATATCCTTTTTACACTACCTATCCATCTTCTGTGTATAGTTAGAATTATATTTAAAGATTGTATATTTAGCCCTGGCGGGTATGGCTCGGCTGGAGTGTCGTCCCATGGACTGAAGTGCTGTGCATTTGGTTCCCGATGAGGGCACATACCTGGCTTGCAGGTTTGATCCCCCATCAGGGCATGTATGAGAAGGCAACCAATCGAGGTTTCTCTCTCTTCCTCTCTCTGTCTCTGTCTCTCTCTGCCTCTCGCTCCCCATCCTACCTCTCTCTATTAAATGAAAAATGTCCTCAGCTGAGAATTAAAAAAAATCACATATTTAATATTTAGATAGCAGTATTCAAGGATTGTCCCAGAAATAGATATCAAGTCTACTTACCATTTAATTTTTTCATGGAACTAGGGGAGAGCAGTGGCCCAAGCAATCCAAAGGTTCTTTCTTTCTAGATCAACTCTGATGGGACTTCCTATGATGATGGAAATGTTCACTATCTGCACTGTTCGATATGGTAACCACATATGACTGTTGAACACTTGAAATATGGTTTCTGTGACTGAGGAACTAAAATGTAAATTTTATTAAATGTTAATGAATTAAAATTTAAATAGACACATGCAGCTAGGGCTGCTGTATTGGGTGCCTTGGTTCTGAGTGTTTTGGAAGGCATTTGATTTTCTTTTTCTTGGGGGATTACTTTCCTAATGCTGTTTGGCTGTGGCTAATAGTAAAAATGAGTTTACATTTTCTCCGATGGTGTTCTGATTCATGCCAAAAGGAAGCAGCTCAAAAGTATACTGGTTGGCAACGGCAACCAGCCTGTGATTTGTGATTCTAAACTGACTGAGGAGTGCATCCCATGGATATAATCAAGTGGTGACAATATGTATGTTATGGGTAAGGAAAAAATTTGGGACCTCAATCTAGCAGAGAACAGCCATCAAATATTTTTTAAAGTCTATTTGCTTGTCCACTCCAATTTCAAAAGCTAAAGACTATGTTTAAATTTTATTTAATCACATTCTATGCCCGAGAGACATTTTCATATGGTCCTTGTATGAAATATAGTCTCAAGAAATTTTTTAAAGCCTGTGAAATATTATCACAGTTTTGTTCCTTGAGATGACTTAAGGCTTATAATCAAAACACAAATTATTAGGTTTTCCCCTTGTTTTTCATTGATAAGCTAATTAAACTATTTACTGCTATTGTTCTTTCCTGTATCAGACACACTGGAGCAATAGAACACTAGCCCATGAGCTTCTTGAGGGTAGGACTCCTCGCTGTCTACTCTTTCAGGCCTAACTGCTGGCCGAGTTCCTGGCACTTAGTAAGTGCACAGTAAGTCATTTTGGTGGGTGTCTAGGCTGGCGGTGAGAATATTCCACTTTTGTTCAATCTAAGAAGAATTCCAGAAGTAGGTAACATTTCTGTGGTGCTCTGAAGAATACAAGGGATAAGATTTGATAGTGGGCAAATGATTTTATCCCACATTTAACTTATGTCCTAAATTCCTCAAAACTGTACCTCCTTTTCTTCTCCTTATCTCAGTCTCAGCCCCACTTTCTAAGCTGCAAACTTAAGAACTAGTCCTCAAACAAAAGAAACAAAAAAGGAAATAGTCCTCCATCTCTTCCCATTCTCCTACATTTACATCCAATTAGCCACCCAAACCTAGAAAATTCTAACAATTTTTTAAAAATGTATTGACTTTAGAGAGAAAGGGAAGGAGAAAGAGAGAGAGAGAGAGTCGTCGATTTGTTGTTTCACTTATATATATATATTCATTGGTTGCTTTGTATATGTGCCTTGATTAAACCTGCAACCTGGCATTATCGGGACAACGCTCTAACCAACTGAGATACCTGGCCAGGGCCCTGACAATTCTTCCTGGGACATATTTTGCCCCCACATCTATCCCCTCTGCTGTAGCACTGGTTCCAGGCCCCCTCGTTTCTTTGTTAGCCTCTTGTAGTTGCCCCTTAACTGAGCTTTCCAACTTTGGTCTTTCTCTAGTTTATTCTCCAGCTTTCACTAGAATATTATTATTATTATTATTATTATTTATTCCTTACCCAAAGATATATTTATTGATTTTAGAGAGAGAGGAAGGGAGAGAGAGAAAGAGAGAAACATCGATGTGAGAGAGAAACATCGATCAGTTGCCTCCCGCACGCGCCCTGACCAGGGATCAAACCTGCAACCTAGGTATGTGCCCTGACCGGGAATTGAACCCGCAACTTTTTGGTGTACAGGACAATGCTCCAACCAACCGAGCCACCCTGCCAGGGCTAGAATAAAAATATTATTAATAAAATATTAACAACAACCATAATAACTTTATTGCTCCTATACGTACAGACCTCCTCTTGCCTTGGCGACTCTGCTGTTTAGTTAGAGTGCCCCTCCTGCTCTTCACCCTCCCCTCGCCCACCTCTCCAGGTTCCTGGCTCATCTTTCCTTCCAGAAACCCCAGCGTCAGTCACAGGCGCTTCATCACTCTCTGAACACAGCGTACCCTTTCAGAATCCAATGCTTTTGTACCAGCCATTCCTACCACTCTTCCTGATGTGAGCTCCCCTCTACCCATTGTCTCATGCCCTCTTACTCTTCATAAACTCAGCCTAGGCGTCAGTTGGCAAAGCCTTCCCTGGATCTCCCAGCTGCACTTAGACAGGCTTCTTACTTCTCTGACAAGTACATCTTTGCTTGCATCTCTGTCTCCTCTACTGCGTGTTAAGCTCCTTGGGAGCAGCTGAGTCCTGTCAGCTCTGGGTCCTCAACACCTGGCATGTAGTGAGTATCCAAATGTGTGTGAAATGTTCTTGGAGGACTAGTGTTTTTTTCAAACTTAGAATAGAACCTAGAATAAACTTGAAGATGGGAAAACAAAGATGTGGGCATGGGGACAAAGCCATCTTGGTTGGAGAAGACACTCTGAAGTGCATAACTGAGGCAGGCAGAGCGGATGTGGACATTCACCCGGTGAAATGGAGGAACAGGCTCCAGAAAGGTCAGGGACTTGCCCAAGGCCAGGTGGTGAGTAAATGGCAAAGTTAAGACTCAGACCCAAGTTTCCTACCACCCACTATACATTTTTATCACAAGAACCAAATGAAAGAATAGGAGAAAATATACTTCTATAGCATACAATATGCGCCAGGCACTGTGGCATTTTATAAAATTTAACTTATTCAATCCTTTTCATAACCCTCTGAGTTAGGTACTATTTTTATCTCCATTTTATAGGTGATGAAACTGAAGTACAGAGATGTCAAATAACTGGTCCCAGGTCAGGCCGGGCTGGCTTCAGAGTCTGCCCTTTTAAATATTAGGCTGTGCTGCCGCTCCATGCAAATGATTTTATTTAGTGTCAGGATTATAATTAGAACATTTCTTTCCTTCCCTCCTTGTTCAGTCTTTTCAGGGGATGAGCACCTGCCATAGAGCCTTCTCCACCCTGTGCTCCCTCCCCAGCCTGTCTTCCCTCGGGATTCTCATCTGCTGTTTTTCCTTCACAGAAGTGCATTAGCAGAGGGGAACTACAGGTGTCTCTATCATATCAGCCAGCGGCACAAAGAATGACAGTGGTGGTCCTCAAAGCCAGGCACTTGCCGAAGATGGATATCACCGGTCTCTCAGGTAGCAGCTATTTACTTCAACCTATTTCTAAAATGTCCAAATGACACCCCCCTCATCTTGCCTGTGGCCTAGACAGACCCCTGTGTCAGGACCACTTAGACCTGTCACTTTGTAGCCGTTCTTCTCTCTGTGTACTTCTCTTCCCGATAAATATCTAGATTATAGGTTTTCCTCGTCAGGGAGGTGCTTTGGGTGAGCAAATGGGGACTTTACCTTGGGCAAGGTACCCTACAGAGTATGCTTGCCAGGTGCTGAGTCCTTGTTCCAGACGAGACTTATCCCAAAGACTGTCGGCATTGTCGTTCTTCTCTGTGCTCTCAGTGATGCTTCTTGGTGTCATAGGGTTTCTTCAAACCTGGCTTGAGGAAGTTCTTTTCTCTCCCTGCTTGATTTCCTCGGCCCCTTGCCCAGGCAGGCAGACTCGAACACTGTCAGTGTGCATTTATTGTGCTGTCACTAAAGACCACGTGGGCGTGGCCACCCAAGAGATGGACAGCATAACCCCTTCGTTCCCAATATGAAACCACCATTACATATGAGAGGACTGTGTCATAGGTCTGTCTTCCTTTTTCTTATCTCTTTGGGGGCCCCAGATCCTTATGTCAAGGTGAACGTCTACTACGGCAGAAAGCGCATTGCTAAGAAGAAAACCCACGTGAAGAAGTGCACTTTGAACCCAGTCTTCAACGAATCTTTCATCTATGATATCCCCTCTGACCTCCTGCCTGACATCAGCATTGAGTTCCTTGTCATCGACTTCGATCGCACCACCAAGAATGAGGTTGTGGGGAGGCTGATCCTGGGGGCACACAGTGTCACAGCCAGCGGCGCCGAACACTGGAGAGAGGTCTGCGAGAGCCCCCGCAAGCCTGTGGCCAAGTGGCACAGTCTGAGCGAGTACTAATCCTGTGTTTCTCACCTCTCACCCCAGGGCCAGGCTGGGCAGGGACGTGGTGGGGACAGAGGTGATAGAAAGAAGCGGACTCAAAATCTCATTTTAGTTATAGAAGAAAATTTCTTACAAAATAAACCCCACAAAGAACACCCCACATGACCACAGATGCAGATTAGTTCTTAGGGATGGTGATTTTTCTCTTTTGCAAGGCACTAGGAATCCTTTTTTTCTTAAATGGGAAAATAGAGAGGGAAAGACCTCTACAAGTTTATATATAACAATGTAACCTTATACTTGCATGTCTAATACAAACTGAAGAAATTAGCCTGACTGCCAATATCAAGTTAAAGATTTTAATCCATGAAAATTGTGTTTTGTGCCGAACTATATTTGCTGATTACCTGAAATTGGCCTCTTTTCTTTTTTTAAAAATTGATTTTAGAGAGAGAGGGAGGAAGGTGGGATGGGGAGAGAGGGGTGTTGTCCCACCTATTTATGCATTTATTGGTTGATTCTTGAATGTGCCCTGACCGGAGATCAAACCTGCAACCTTGGTGTAACAGGACGACATGCTAACCAACCTAGCCCCCTGGCCAGGGCAAAATTGGCCTTTTTTATTGGGCTTCTCTGGAGAGTTACTCTCACTCCCCACCTCTGCAAAAGAATATTTTGCTCTTGTAAAACCTCATTTTTATCTTTCCCTTCTTTTCTTCCTATTACCTCTTACATATCTGCTCTTTAACTGAGTTCAAAGTCCAGAAATCTGTAGTAAGCCGAGAAACAAAGGTGGAATGGATTAGGCAAGGTTTGCAAGAGAAAGAATGTTTGAGAAGTGGGGTGTTTTTGCTGTCAGCACTCCTGCTATGAAGGGGTAGACGGCAGTCTGATCAAATTGTGATGAAGCACATGGACACATCAGATTTATGAGGTATGATTGGGATCACAGAACAAGATGACATCTCTCAAAAGAGCTTTCGAGACTTCAGATTCAGCTGTAGGATAGTACCCATGAACACAGCATACTGATCCCAAACACTGTTTGCAGGGAGAGGAGAAATGAGATGACTCCCACCCCCCCACCCCCTTCACAGCTCCATAGGGAAGCAACAGCCATTCATTGGTTCATGGGTTAGAAAGCATCAGAGGTTTGAAGGATTAAATTGGCCTTCATTTTTCCAGAAATGCTGACCCTTGAGAAGCTTTAGTCTTCTCAAGTAGCCTAGATGTGGTTAGTGTTGCTTCATAAGGCTAAGGGCCTTCAAAGATCATTCTCCTTAAATGTTCTGGTAATGGCTCTTCAAAATAACACTGAGTCACAAAGGTAGCTTAGATTCTTTCAGGACACTCTTCCCTCAAAACAAAGTGCTTGGTTCTTGGAATTTATGAGTCTCACAACAAAGTGGAGGGATGAGGGGAACCACAGAGGTCAACCCTCCTCCTGCCAGTGGGCAGTGGAGGTTGAGAGACATTCAGCGTCCTGCTGGGATTAGAATTCAAGTCTCCTTACTCCTAATTCAGCCATGTCTCTAATGGTAAGACTTCTCAGGTGGCAGAGACTTCACTGACAATAAGTATGCTTGGATAGGCAGTAGATATTTTTCAAGCCTGAAGAGGAGCTCAAATAAGCAGCAGCTTGATGCAAGGCCTGAGGGATTAGCTAAAATTGCAGGTCCACTTCCATGCAAAAACATCACTTTCTAACTTGCTTCTGAGAAGGAAGTTGAAAAGATGTGTCTCCATGGAGAGGGTGGCGATGTTGCCTTTGATGCTCCCTTACCTCTTGGGGGTTTAAAACAAATCTGGTTCCCCCTACCCAATCCTTTCGTTGTTTTTTTAAACCCAGATCCTTGACAAGGCAGAGCAGGCACAAAGCCCACTCTCTGTTCTCTCCCTGTCAGCCCTGCAGTCTGACTCACTTGCTCACCATCAGTCGGGTTCCTACCACCAGTCTCTGTCCTATACTCCATGGAATGTAAATACTGTATCATACGTAGGAGAAAATAACTTCTTTTCTAAAAATGGCATTTTGAGCTAGTTTGATGTAAATCTGACAGGAGCATTCTGAAACCCCATTAGAAAAAAATTTAAATGATTCCTCTTCATCGCCTTAATGTCTGAAGATCAGAAATTGCTGAGCAATCCGCTTTTGTTTCCTTCCCAGAAACAATGCAAAGCAACAGGTGGAGATAGTCTGGTCTTTGCCCCACTGTGTGTGCCTCTGTAGCTCCTCCTGACATAAGTCTGGGAAAACAGCCTCACCCCACTCCTCTCTTCCCCAGCTCCTTGTAGCTTTATTCCTTGCATTCTTTGGGTCTACTGAGCAGTGGGTGGTGAGGTGATAGGGGAGGAACCAGTAGTTCTGTAGTCTATGAGCTGCCTTGGTGTCTTTCTCAGAAAAAGGCCAAGTGACAGACAATACAGGGTTCCTCTCTCCTACCTCAGGCCTGATCCATCGTGCCCTTGACTTTGCTGTCCCAAAGTTTCTTAGCTGACTTTGGCTTTCACATTTGTTCCTCCCAGAGCTAACTGGTAAGGGTGAAGGAGGAATGCCTCCTTTTAAGAGTCAGTTGAAAGACAAGAGAGTCACATCCTAGCTTTTGCACAAGGCACTCATGGTCAGGAATAAGTTAGGGAATGATCACTTCTGATTTTCCAAGAGTCAGTCCTTCTCTACTGATAACTTGATTCCATTGGGAAGACAAGAGTTTTTCCTAATAACAAAAGTCCCTTTATGAGTTACTCCTCTTTCAGTTCTTCTCAGTGGAGCACAGGCAAGATGTACATGTTTATGAACAGTGCTCTAGATATGAAAACAGACAGAACTGGTTTGGGGCACGGGGCAGCTTGCTCAGGAGAGGGAATAATGCAAGTCCTTTTCTTGGAAGGCTTTTATTATGGCAATGATAGTGACATTTCCCTCACCATGATCCTTCTCTAATGTGGTTGTCTTTCTTTACCTTGTGTCTTCTCTTGTAAAAATGAAATTCAAGAATAAAATAAATGTGTCAAATTAAAAAAAAGAAAAATCTGAAAAAGCTAACATAAATTGTGTGAAATTGCATAATGCTGTAACGCTAACCTACAATATGTAATGCTATCTTGTATGTTGAATTTGTTAATGCACCACACAAGTGCAAAATAAAAACTGATTCACATTAAATAGAAACAGTGATGTCATCATGATTTTCTTGAAAACTGGATGACTGTGAATGAAGCTAACACTCAGATCCCAATAGGATATTCTAGGGCATGTTTTCAAAGTGTGAGTTTCAGACCGCCTGATCAGAATCATCTGGCACATTTGTTAAAAAATGCAGATTTCAGGGTCCTGTACCAGAGACTCTCATTTGGTAGGTGGCGTGTTTTGCTCTTTGTTCTAGTCCTTTTTGTAGTCTTTCTGTATTCCCTTCAAAATTTAATTCCTAAGACCATAACCACCAGAGAGAGAGGGAGAGATGCTGGTTTTGTTTGTTTTGAGAGAGAGAAAGAGAGAGAGAAATTGATTTATAGTTCCACTTATCTATGCATTCACTGGTTGTTCCTTGTATGTGCCCTGACTGGAGACCGAATCCACCACCTTGGTATATCTGGATGACGCTCTAACCAACTGAGCTACCCGGCCAGGGCCAAAAGATACTGGTTTTGAGTTCTGAGAAGAAGTGTGCCTTTGTAATTGGGAATATTTATCCCAACCAGTTCAGTTCATTCACTCGTTCATTAGTCAACAGCTATTTATTTGAGTGTCTACCACATATCATCCACTGGGGATATGAGTCCTGTTTTTGTAGAGCTTACCAGAGAACAAACATTAATCAAATAATCATACTAATAAATGTATAAATACAAACTGAGAAATGCTCTGAAAGGAAAAGAACACCAGTTAATACATCACTCTGGGATCATATACTGGGGTGGTAAGACTATTGCAACTGTTCTTTGTGGATTTCTTTGCTGGCCTTAAAGTCTAGAATGATTCAGTTTTCATATATTCTGTTCTGTGTAAGTACTCCTCCCTGTGCACATGCCTAGGGTAGTGAGAAAAGAAGGAGGAAAGTCCCTGCTCTTCTAAACTTTCAGTGAAGGAATTAAAAAACATTTTAATTTATTGATTTTTTGAAAGAGAGAGAGAAACATGAATTTGTTGTTCCACTTATCTATGTATTCATTGATTGATTCTTATATGTGCCCTGACCTGAGACCAAACCCGTAACCTTGATATTTTAGGGACAATGCTCTAACCAACTAAGTTACCCAGCCAGGGCCAAAAACATTTTTATATTACACAACTAATATAAGCTAATTATAAGAAAACTGAAATATAAGAGGAAAAAATCAATTCCAAAACATTAACAACTATTTTGTCTTCCAGTCTTACTTTCTGTGCATTTTTTCCCTGATAACGTCACTCAGGGTCATTATAGAAAACATAGAAAATGAAGTATAAGTTCATAGAAATAGGAAAAAAAATCCACTTACAGACAAACATTACTCATTTTGGCACACTTCCTTCCACTTTGTTTGAATTATCTTATGATTACAATCATGGCATGTATATGATTTTGTATATTCTTTTTAGTAGGTGATAGTCTTAATAAAAGTAACATATAACAAAATGATAATGAGAGTAACTTGGAACTTTGGGTGTTTTTTGGCTACAAGTAACAGGAAAACCAATTCAAATTGGCTTAAACATTAAGAAAATGTATTGGTTCACCTAACTAGAAGTTCGAAGGTAGGGGGCAGGCTTCAGGGCTGACTGCAGCAAAAAGGTCACTGAAACCATCAGGGACCCAGGTTCTTTCTGTGGGCCCACTCTGACATTCAATGTTAGCTTAATCCGAAACCTTTTATGATGTTTACAGAAACACTTCTAGCACTTCATGCTTCCTCATTCACTTCCTGCAGGGAAAGAGGAGATTGCTTCAGGACCTCTCCCAGAAAAAGAAGATGCCTCTAGCTATTCTCTCCTCTAAACTCGCTGATCCAAAATGTGCCTCATGGCATTTCTGATTTAATCACAGGCAAGAGGGGTGGGGGGAGGGGGTGGGATTATCCAGGCTGTTTAGGACTTCTCTGCACTTGATTTTAGCCAAAAGACTGAGAGGTGATATGACTTCGATTCTTGAATAAAACGCCATTTTCTTTGGAAGGAGGAATGGATTTTGAGTGGGAAACTGAAAAAGAATACAACATTGTATTCTGTGGGACCTTTCCAGTTATTCTCTCCTGCGATCATCTTATAACAGAGCAATTTTCAACGTTTTCCCCTCATGGCACACATAAACGAATGCTAAAAGTCTGCAGCACACATGCAAAATGTTTTTTTCTTGCCAATTTGACCTAAAAATTAGGTGCAACTTTGATTCATTTGCACCAGGTGGCTATTTTTGTGTTGGCTATTGTCATTTTTTTTGATTTGGCAGTCTAAAGAGAAAGAGGTCAGTGCCCCTGACTAAATAGGTATTGCAAATTTTAAAAATTCTTGAAACATAGAGGTTGAAAATCACTGTCACAACCAACTCTCCAAGAAGAGTTGCCGACTTATTAAGTGCCTCACATATCGATTTTATCCATCCCTCCATACTTTGTGGTTTGAAACACAAACAGCCTAGTGCTTGAAGTACTCTTTATTTTATTTTTTAAAGATTTTATTTATTTATTTTTAGAGAGAGGGGAAGGGAGGGAGAAAGAAAGGGAGAGAAATATCAATGTGTGGTTGCCTCTCGCACACCCCCCAACTGGGGACCTGACCTGCAACCCAGGCACATGCCCTGACTGGAAATTGAACCAACCACCTTTCGGTTCACAGTTCAGCACTCAATCCACTGAGTCACACCGCCCAGAGCATGGAGTCCTCTTTAAATGACTCAAGAGCAACATAAGTTTAGCCATAAGGCAAAATTTTTGAGAAAGCTGAGAATATTCATCATTACAACTTTTATAAGATAGCAAACTAGACATCATACCAACTGTCTAACATTGTACTAAGTTAAATACCAACTTGGTATTCAAGAAGAGACTCCTAGAGGAGGTCTTATGGCTT